GGAATACGTATAGAATAAGGAATAGGGATAGGATAGGGGAATAGAATAAGGAATAGGGGAATAGAATAAGGAATACGTATAGAATAAGGAATAGGGATAGGATAGGGGAATAGAATAAGGAATAGGGGAATAGAATAAGGAATACGGATAGAATAAGGATAGGATAGGATAGGATAGGATAGGATAGGATAGGATAGGATAGGATAGGGGAATAGAATAAGGAATAGGGGAATAGAATAAGGAATAGGGATAGAATAAGGAATAGGGATAGGATGGGATAGAATAAGATAGGGGAATAGAATAAGGAATAGGGGAATAGAATAAGGAATAGGGATAGAATAAGGAATAGGGATAGGATAGGATAGGGAAACAGAATAAGGAATAGGGGAATAGAATAAGGAATAGGGATATATTAAGGAATAGGGATAGGATAGAATAGAATGGGGAATAGAATAAGGAATAGGGGAATAATAAGGAATAGGGATAGGATAGGATAGGGGAATAGAATAAGGAATAGGGGAATAGAATAAGGAATAAGGATAGGATAGGATAGGGGAATAGAATAAGGAATAGAGTAATAGAATAAGGAATAGAGTTAGAATAAGGAATAGGGATAGGATAGGATAGGATAGGATAGGATAGGATAGGATAGGATAGGATAGGATAGGGGAATAGAATAAGAAATAGGGATAGAATAAGGAATAGAGATAGGATGGATAGAATAGAATAGAGGAATAGAAATAGGAGTAGGAATAGGAATAAAGAATGGAATTAGGAATGGAATGGAACAGAATTAAGAATAAGGAATAGGGATAGAATAAGGAATAGGGATAGGATAGGATAGGGGAATAAAATAAGGAATAGGGGAATAGAATAAGGAATAGGGATAGGATTGATAGGATAGAATAGAATAGAATAAAGGAATAGAAATAGGAGTAGGAATAGGAATAGGAATAAAGAATGGAATTAGGAATGGAATGGAACAGAATTAAGAATGGAATGGAATTAAGAACAGAACAGAACAGAATTCTTTATTGACCAAGTGTGATTGGACACACAATGAATTTTTCTCTGGTGCATAAGCTCTCAGCATACGTGCAAACAGCAAAGTTATAGGTCACAGATATGAATCATGGCTACAGCCATTAATCACAAAATACAAAAAAGTGATAAATCATAAGCTGCAAAGAAAAATGGGGGGAAAAAGAGAGATGAGAAGGATAATAGCAATACAGCTCTATACTCCAATGGAAAATATCCATAGGCATAAGACAGGACTGTGGGAATCAGGTGTTTAGCAGAGTGATGGCACGGGGGGAACAAACTACCTTTGTGTGTCTAGTTGTTTTGGCATGCAGCGCCCTATAGCCACGTCCTGAGGGGAGAAGTTGAAACAATTTTTGTCCAGGATGTGAGGGGTCTGTGTGAGATTGCCCACAACTGGATTGTTCTCCGGTTCCTTAGAAGATCAGCATGAAGTATAACCCCAGAGATACCTGGATGGCTGAATTGGACACCCAGTTATGAGTTCCCTGCCGTATCCCTGTAGACGTTTTGTACAAAATCATGAGGGTTGTGTGTCTGCATTAATTTCTCTTCTGTCGTGGTCCCATCCTATCCTAAATAAATAAACTTCTCCCTGCCGGTGGGTGAGACCGACTATGCCTTCCCTTCTCTTTCTCTCCTTGCAGACCTTATATGGATGCTGTGGTTTCTTTGGTTACGTTGATGCTGGACACAGGATTGCCCTGTTTCCGGGGACAGACCATCAAACTCTTGAAGTAAGTGGGCTGCGCCGATTGCCGAGAACAGAAATGATGGGTGGGTCTCACTTAAAGCTAAGCAAGGGCTTGATTGGCTTAAAGAGGGGCGGGAGATGATGCTTGTGTTGAACCCCCATGGCCTGGAGGGTGGATGGAACCTGGGGAGGCTGCTGGGGGTTCGCACGGGTTTGGGCGATCTTCTAGCTAGGATTTCCCCCAAATGCCACCCCTCGCTTGCCCCTCAACTCAACATCTCCTGGTGATTGGCCGAAAGTCACCAGGTTGACTTTCATCCCTAAGGCAGGATTACAATTCACCCTCTCCTGGTGATTGGCCCAAAGTCACCCAACCAGCTTTCATCCCTAAGGCAGGACTACACCTCAACATCTCCTGGTGATTGGCCAAAAGTCACCCAGTTGGCTTTCATCCCTACGGCAGGACTACAATTCACCCTCTCCTGGTGATTGGCCCCAAATCACCCAACCAGCTTTCATACCTAAGGCAGGATTAGAATTCACAGTCTCCCATTTTCTAGCCCGGTGCCATGCCGGCTGGGGAACTCTGGGAGTTAAAGTCCAGATCGCTTAGAAGTTAGTATGGTTGAGAAAAACACTCATATAATTGTATTAAGAACTAGCCGAAACCCCGGCATTGCCCAGTTATTTATTTATAGGGGGAAAATGTCTGGACCAAACGTAATTTCTAATGTTGGGTTTTCCCCCTTACCAGAGGGAGCCCCCTTGTGGAGTACTGTGAAGCCATTACCATGGCAACTCCTCTGCGCTGTACAGTAGAAGCCATTTTAGGGAAGTACAGTAGAGGGGTATGTGTGTGTGTGTGTGTGTGTGTGTGTGTGTGTGTGTGTATATATATGCAGATGTCCTTCTGCTCCTCCTCTGTTTTCTCAAACAGGAACAGGTTCAGCCCCAACATGACTGAGCGAGAAGCTGCCAACTTCATCATGAAGATCATTCAGAATTGCTTCCTCAGCAACAGGTAAGCCTACTTCATCTCGGGCTGCCCCATTGGTGGCCCATTGGTGGCCCAGCAGCGAGGCGACAGGGAGAATTGTACCTTCAGACTGAACAAGATTCTATCAAGGGGGTTCTACGATAAGTATATTTAGATCACCTGGGTGGGATGGCTGTCAGGGGTGGGATCCTACCTGTTTACACAACTGGTTCGCTGAGCACATGTGCGCCATTTACAGAGAAATCACCTTCCGCATTACTGCTGGGAAAGAAAAACAGCTATCAGCTGGGCTTCAGAAAAGGGAATATAGCAGTGGTGGGTTGTGGGCGATACGCCCCAGTATGGGCGCACCAGTGCTTGCTGGGAGCATCAGGCACCGTTCTGGTACAGTGCTGCGGAGGGCCTGCCTACCCATGTTCCTGAGCTGTATTTGACCCAACCAGGTCATTTGCGCACACACAGGCAGCGCACGGCGCCTGCGTGATGCTCCGCTGAGCAGCTGGAGCATCGTTCATGTTTGGGGAGCTGGGTCAGAATCTGAACTTTCTCTCTCACCGCAGGCTAACAATTCTGTCCGGCAGGGAGATGAATAGTTATCTGCCACACCTATTCATCTCCGCCCCTCTGCCTTTGCTCCCCAGAGCTAGGGTGGGGCTTTGCTAGCAGCAATGGCTTTTCCATCATAAGGACCGGCCCATAGATTTCCACTGCTCTCCTCTCCTCTGCTCAGCCTTAGTCATCTCCTACAGTATATTTCTAATCAATCCAAGACTCATTGCTGCAGCAAACCCTCATCCAGAATAGCCTCTGAAAACAAAGCTTGTTTGTTTCTCGACTCCCCAAAGAAACCAAATTCAATCCTAAGATGTACGTCCATCTCTGAAAAAGCCTAATTTCTTTCCCCTTGTCTTTCCCTCTTCTATTTTTTTTTTTTTTTAGGAGCAAGACCTACGATATGATCCAGTACTACCAAAACGATATTCCTTACTAAAACAGTGGGGAGAAACACCACAATCGCGTCCCCTTCCTCCCAGCCTTGAAATGTGAATTTCTGAGATCGTTGTCTCCCATTCTTTGAAGCAAGCCCTGTGTGCGTGCGCCCGCGTTTGCATGCCAAGCTGGGTGTCGTCCCCCCTGTGGTAGCAGATGCCGCAACAATCAACCAACATCTTAGCTCGCGCCTTTCGTCTTTGCTGGGATCCTCACGTGGCGTAGCCGTGATCTAGAAATTAGCCGTCGTCATAGACTCTTAAAAAATCTTGTTGCACTTGTGAAGACGGGCAAATTTGAAACCTTCGGTGGATGTCGGGCAAAGTCTCCCCCACCCCTTCTTGGCATGTCTCAAAGCCAGAATCTTTTGACGTGGTTCTTCTAGAGCAGGGGTCGACAACCTTAAACACTCAAAGAGCCACAAAGGTCCTAACTGAAAGCCTCCTGTTCAGTTCTGGAGCTGACCGGAAGTCTGGTTCTCCCACCATAGAGTCTCCTCCTAGCACGACGTACTTTTTCCTCTGCCAACGGGAAGTCTGGTTCCCCCACCATAGAGTCTCCTCCTAGCGCGGCGTCCTTTTTCCTCTGCCAACAGGAAGTCTGGTTCCCCCACCATAGAGTCTCCTCCTAGCGCAGCGTCCTTTTTCCTCTACCTATCCTAACTGAAAGCCCTATCAATTGTGGGGCCAACCAGCAACAGGGAGCCGCAGCAGAGGGATGAAAGAGAGCCACATGCAGCTCCAGATCCGCAGGTTGCTCACCTCTGTTTTAGAGAATCAGATGCCAACAAGGCACTCTAGAATTGTAGTACATAGCGGTGGGAGATAGATGGCTCTGGCGTAATGCTGTAGAAATTGTAAGGATAATCACTTTGCACTTGTTGGTGTAAATTGCTTGTATTTTGCACTGTAAATCTCCTTGCTCCAAGGTCAGTATTTCTTATTTTCAGGAAGAATGTATCCCACCCACACCCCCTTTTGTGTGGTTTTAAAGAGAGATGCTCTACTGAAGAGAGGTTATATTTAATCTAAAAACAAAAATAAAAGTCTTAGGATATTTTCTGCACCTGATTTTTTTTAATTCTTAAAACCAATCATCCTTATTAACCTCCAGGAAAACACCGGTGCCAAAGGTGGCGGAAAATATTATTTATCGACATTTCCAAATCCTAATTTTCACTGAGATATTCTGTAAAGGAGATAATATACTTTTAATCGGAGATTTGATTTTTATTCTGGTTATTTCTGGAAGTGGGCAAATGAAAGGGTGGTTTTTTTTTCCACCCCTTAATCTGGATGCTGTCTTTAATTAGATAGAAATTTATGTAAAATAATGGCTGGTTAGAGGCAAAATTGGCAGGCTGGGGGCGGAGCCAATAACTGGTGACATTTTACAAAACTTTCCCAAGAAAGAATTCCTATAGAGAAATACAAATCTCCACGGAATGGCTGAAAATGTTCTTTTTTTATTGAAAAGTTTTAATAGATTTTACAAATATTTCCCCTTCCCTCCCTCCGCCCCAACCCTACCCCCCCCTCCAACCTCACCTCCCCCCAACCTCCTTGAGCAAAATACAGGGTATAAGCAGTTAACAATCATACACTAACATAAGCTAACTAACTATAGCTTCCTANTACATCCTCCTTTTAAAGGTATACATATATATAGCAATTTCATTGTTATTCCCCCCCACCCAACACACACACATATTAGAATGTGCAGAAATGAACGGATTAACACTGGCAATCAAAGAGAAAGAACGAACTGATTATTATATAAATGGGAATAATTTTACCGATGGGTAGAGAATAAATATAAGAATTAGAAATAAAGGTAGATGAGTAAAATATAGAAAGTGTGTTAATAGAGTTAATAGAGTTAAATAAATCAAGAGGAGGGTTGTGTTTATATATTGATGGTATTAATAATTAAATTTCAATAAACATCTTCCATATTAATGATTTAAACATACTGTACATCCTCCTTTTAAAGGTATACGTATACAGTATATATAGCAATTTCATTGTTATCCCCACCCCACCCCGCCCCAAAACATACTTTTTCGGCCAAAGTGAGGGCTGGATTCAGGTTTTCAGGTACCCTCATAATAATATTACATAATTATATATCACTACACGCCCCAAATTTTTAAATCCAAGAAGAGGATTGTTATAGTATTAGACATTTAAGGGATTGGTATTAAGCAAAGAATGAATTGTAAATTTTAACTGTTATATATAGCACAAAACATGTGTACCCAGACGACACACTGTTTAATGGAAGAGGGACTGTTTGTATCAAAATAAAATTAAAAAATTAAATGGAAAAATGGTCCTAAGTCACTTTTTATTCAACGGTTACTAAATAAACTGTTGTACATGAGGGACCGCCTGTATTTCTTTCTGCTTATGAGTTTATGACAGCTTTCCAGCTGCAGATGATTCGGTGAGTTGCAGATGTGGGAGCCCCCAAACCCAGCCAGGCAGAGCTGACATGATGTGTATCCGGTCAGGCTCTTACAGCTGTTTTGCAGAATTTCTGTGCTCTTGGGAGCTTCCGGCTTCTCACATCCCTTCCTTTCCCTTCTTTCTCCTAGTGTGGCGTCATTGAATGCATTCCAGATTGCACTTCCCGTGATCAGCTGGGCAGGCAGACCGACTTCGGGATGTACGATTATTTTACCAGGCAGTACGGAGATGAATCTACTCTGGCCTTTCAGAAGGTATTTTGTGGGACTCTTATCGATAGAAGAGAATATTCGTAGCTCGGGGTTGAATTAGGGGGGTCCTTGGTGCTCTCTGACCTTTTTTGTTTTCTTCCAGACGTTTCATGACCCTGCTAGGTGACGTCATCAATGTTAGAAGGGAGTAGGGTTTGTGGAAAGGAAGAGGAGGACTGTAGGGTCGTTGGTGCTCTATGAGCTTGGTGGTTTTCTTGCAGACATTTTATGACCCTTCTAGGTGACAGCATCAGTGTTAGAAGGGAGTGGGGCTTGCGGAGAAGGGGAGGAGAGAAGGGAAGAAGGAGAACTGCGGGGTTCTTGATGGTCTATGAACTTACTGTTTTCCTGAAGATATTTCATGACACCACTAGGTAACTTCATCAGTGCTAGAAGGGAATGGGATTTGAGGAGGAGGAGGGGAGAGGAGAAAGGGAGGAGGAGGACTGTGGGGTTCTTGGGGTGCAGGCATTTCATGAGCCTACTAGGTAACATCATCCATGGTACAAGGGAGTGGGGATCATGGAGAATAGGAGAAGGGGAGGAGGAGGAGGAGAATTAGCAATAGCCCTTAGACCTAAATGCTTCACAGTGCTTTACAGCCCTCTCTAAGCGGTTTACAAAGTCAGCCTCTTGCCCCCAACAATCTGGGTCCTCATTTGACCCACCTCGGAAGAATGGCAGGCTGAGTCAACCTTGAGCCTGCTGAGATTCAAACCGGTAAATAGTCCAGCGGTGCCAAGCACAAAAACTTCTGTATTGTTAGGAATAAAGTCAACCCAAAGTCTACCAAGTGACACCATTCGATTCCTTTATCCTTCTCCTGAAAATTAGTCCTTTGTCTTCAGTCCCTGTTCCCCCCCCCCATCCCCGTCCCCGTCCCCATTATGAAAATGCTCCTGTTTTAGATCTTCAGCTTTGGCCTACTGAGGGCCTAATGATGCAAAACCTTCTTTCTCAATATCTCCAATGTTGTTGCATCCTTGCAGGCTCGCTACAACTTCATCCGCAGTATGGCTGCGTACAGTCTCCTGCTCTTCCTCTTGCAAATTAAAGACAGGCATAATGGCAACATCATGCTGGACAAACATGGACATCTCATTCACATTGGTTAGTTTACCCCTTGGGACTTCTTTGTGTGTGTGTGTGGGTGTGTGTGGGTGTGTGTGGGTGTGTGTGGGTGTGTTCACCCTTTTACCTGGAGCAGGGGTCGGCAGCTCTGGAGCTGCATGTGGCTCTTTCCTCAGTCTGCTGCGGCTCCCTGTTGTTCTGACGTAGGCTTCCCAAGAGCCTGAAGCAAATTCATTGTCCCAACAAAAACCCCTTTTATGAATTGACTGTGAATTCTGCTCCTTCACATCCAGCAAAGTCTTTCAAGGGAGGATTTCCAGTCACAGACCTTATCTGGCTTGGAGAGCGGCCAGGCCGATCTCTGCAAAACTTGGCAAGGAGNTTATGCATCTCAATCCGACTACAGAAATTTTCATCAAAGTACTAATTTTGCGTGGTTTCTATGAGTGAAAAGTTGATTAAACATGTAAATACAGCATAAAACAGAAAGCGTGCAGGACTTTTTCACACGGCTGTACTTACTGAACAGAAGGGAAAGACTATATTGGAGATATAGTGGATATTTTTGGACCATTATAGCTAACTGATCCTGATTTGAGCTTGATATTTCAAACTGATAAGACACTGGGTAATGAATGATTAATTGTCTGAACTTAGACTGCAAAAAAGTGGAGCTGATATACTGCTGTCATATTGTGATATTTTGGTACATGGAGTATTTGATATTATCACTGTTGTGTACTGAGGTGGGGTGATACTCACTGTACTGGAATATTCTAAGTGGTCAATTCTGGGGTGGTCTACATTTATAGGGAATACTAGAGGTGGTGATAATAACTACTGGCTAAAAAAATTAATTGCTATAATGTCGACTTTAAATATAGCAAAAATAGGTAAAAAGGCATCCTCGACACCAGTCTCAACATCTTCTAGCCTCTCTAATCAGAGGTCAGTTGAAAGCATTTTACAGCCAGAGAAAACCAATTCAACATAAAAGGAGGTATTAACATTATTACAGCCATTATATCTATGACCCAAAGTCATAATGAGATAAGGAAAGATATAGGAGAAGTGAGAAATGATACGGGAGAGCTGAAAGAAAAAGTTCAGAATATGGATGAAAAATTTGAGAACTTCCAACAAAGGATATTAAAGAGTGAACAAAAGATTGAAAAAAAACGGAGGAGAAAACAGAATATATGGAAAAGAAAGTAGATGATTTAAACCAGCAACTGACACAAGCTAATAAAGAATTAATAAATACTGTGATAATGTTACAGACAGAAAAAGCTGATCATTCTTTAAGGTTTCAAAACATAGAAGAGGAGAAAGGAGAAGACCTACTAGAGATAATGAAAGAACTGTTAGCAAAGGTATTAGGCATAGACAAACAGGAAATGGATATGGAGGTGGACGAAACATACAGGATCTATACAAATTACACGAGAAGATACAATCTTCCTAGGGACGTATGTCAGTCCTGCAGCCACATTCCTTTTGGATATTTGGCCTGACACACTTTCTATTATTCTACTAGGCCGTTTCTATTGTGGGAAAATGGGAGGGGGGATGGTACGGAGTTAAATGCTATGTAGCCAAAATAAAATTCCTTTTTATAATCCAAGGTCATCCTTTGTCTCTACACCTCTGCACCTGACTGGAACTGGATGTGTGGAACTGCCAGCATGGCAGTGGAAGATTGGACCATGTGATGGACTTGTGGGTCTGGGGGCAAGATCATGAACTTTCAACTGGGTGGGGAAAATTGGGAAGCTTTCAGATTTGAGTTTTCCCAGATGTGCCAACATGGCTCTCTTAATAAATTGGAACTTTGAGCAATACTTTGCCTTGGACTCTGATTTAATTTTGAATGCTATTTGAAACCCTGACATGTACACGTAAGACTAGTGAAAAAATCATTAAGGGATGAGATACTCTATAAGGCAAGAGATGAACCACTAGAATATAAAGGTAAACAGTTGGTGGTTTTGAAACAAATCCCTAGTAAGGGATCTAAGAAAACAATATCACTTTCTCACCACAGTCTTGGTTAAACATAATGTAAACTTTGGATGGCTAATTCCTGAAAGGATTCTAGTCACCTGGCAAGCAAAAAGGTATCAATTAGACTTACAGGATAAGGCGACAGATTTTTATGAAAATTACTTTACTTTAGAAGAGGAACAAAAAACAAGAGAGCTAGTATATAAAAGCCAAGAGGTACCAATAACAGGAGGAAGATACCCAAAACAAGCACAGGGGGAAAAGGAGAAAAAAGAATGTCTAGAACGAGAAGGAGCAATAGCGAAAGAAGCTAAAGAAGTAAGAGCAACTAGGACTATAAAGCCTAGATATAAATAAATTAATGCAAGAAGAAATAAAGGTGTTATCAGTCAATATTAATGGGCTTAATTCACCAATAAAACTGTTTTCTAAACTGTTGAAATTAAATTTTGACATAATAGCACTCCAAGAAGTGCACATTAAGAGACAATACAAATTCTTGAAATTTTCTAAATTGGGAAAACTATTCTACTCATTACCACAGTGCAAAAAAAAAAAAAAAGAAGAGGGGTGGCACTTTATGTGAAAGAAACAATAAATGCCAAACAAGTTTTTAATGACGAAGAAGGGAGAATTTTGATGTTGGAGGTGATTTTGAATCAAAAACAGACTCTTATAGTTGTTATTTACGCACCAAATACTGGATAAGAGAAGTTTTATAAGAAACTTCATAATAAAATTCTAGAAATAAAATATGAAAATATATGTATCATGGGATATTTCAACACCCAGGTGTCTGGAGCTGAGTGTTGAAACCGGGTGAGTGATTGACCAACTCACAGAAAAAAAAGAAAAAGCTGATCTTAATCTTAAAAAGGATCCTGAAGCGGAATTAGCCGGTAACTAAATGGCTTTTGTGGAATGTTATTGAAAAAAAGGTGGCAGAGGAGACTAAGCACCAAAGCCTCAGAGGACTTTGTCTTCTGCAATTTGGAAGTGAAGACAAAATTAACAACTAAAAGGAAGAGCTCTGGGGGAAGTCTCCATTCTTCTTATCTTACAATACAATACAATACAATAGCAGAGTTAACACAAGGGACCTTGGAGGTCTTCTAATCCAACCCCCTGCCTAGGCAGGAAACCCTATACCATTTCAGACAAATGGCTATCCAACATCTTTCTAAAGGTTTAGGTTTAGGTTTATTGGACTTATATGCCGCCCTTCTCCCAAAGGACTCAGGGCGGCGTACAACAGAAAAACACATATTACAAAAGTTAAAAGAAAGATTAAATAGAATATCCAAAAATCTTTTTAAAGACTTCCAGTGTTCCAGTCCAGGATTAAAAATGCTTTTAATCCACAAATAATTGAATCTTATTTGATTCTTTGTGGACTAAAAGCATTTTTAATGGCTATTGACAGCTAGCTGTGGGATTGCATTGCCATCTGGAGAGAGCTATTTACTGGGGAGCAGAAAATATTACACTGGCTAATGAAAAATAATAATAGTAGCAGTAATAACAGAGGGAAGTCCTCCCCCTCTTACTTTAATTTTTTTTTATTCAAACCACTTTGAAAGAAAAGGGGGAAAAAGTGAGAGTTGCAGCTGTAAGTGTGACCTTGGATACAGGAAGAGGCTTTGAAAACAAAAGCATTGTTTTGACTGTAACTAACTACAGCGGTGGAAGAGAAAGGAAACCTTAACTTGGATTGGTCTGGACTAATTTTAAAACTGAGAAACAGAATTTGGAAGACCCTAAATTTGCAATTAAATGTGGTAGAACCCAAACATTTAAAAATCTGTTAAAATAGTTAAACAGTTAAAATAGTTAAACTTGCATAATGGAGATTTGGATGTATGATGAACTATTTGTGTTGCTGAAAAGTGCATGTGAAATGTTAATTGGTAAAGAAAAGCCAGGAAATCAAAAGGAACATGCAGAACAAGGAATAGGAGAAGAGGGGAGCACAAATGAGGTACAGGAAGATAAAGTGGGAAAAAGAAGAATTGAAAATAAAAGGCAGATAGAAGATTTCACTGGGATTTACAGTCACAAAGAAAAAGCAGAGAAAGGAGTTCTCCCAAAAAAGAAACCACAAAACAGTAAGGAAAGGAGGAGAACAGGGAAAACCCTGGGAAAAGTTACTAGAATAATAAAAGTAAATACTCTGAAGAAACGAATCACAAAAATAGGAAAAAGAAAAAGAAGTTAGGGGAAAGGGGGAGAAGAAGGGAAAAATTTAAACGGGAATTTGTAAGAGCCCAAGAGAAAATGGTTAAAAGAGGAAGAAAGGGGAAAAGAGTTACATTAGTAGACTAAAGAGAATAGTAGTAAGATTGTTATTGTGATGTAACTAATTAAGAAATAAAGATATTGTTAATTGTAGAAAAAAATTGAAAGAAATGCTCTCTATGCTTAAATTGAATTAGAGAATGTATGCTGNCCCCCCCTGCCCCACTCTGTCTGCCTCCCCTTTGAATGTTTTCCAGCCCAAAGGAATGTCAGAAAGCAACATTCCCAGTCCTTGGGATTCTGCCTGCCCGCCTCTCTTTCCCTACCTGGTTGGAGATGAGGTCAACTTTGGTTCTCCCTCCAGGTGTTTGGCACCCCCCCTCCCCCAGTTCTCCCAGGGCCTTGGGGGGCTTCTCTGCCCCAAGGTCTCTGCCCTCAGAGGCTGTTTGAGCTCAGTTCGTCTGCTTCGGCCCCTCTTTTGCACCAACGGTGAACGCTGGCTGCATCTTAAATTCCGATTTGCTCCAGCTGTTTTGAGGATCATCTCTCTCCCACTGAGATGTCAAAACCATTTTCTTCTCCCTGCGATAGAGGCACCGTCCACACAGCCGAGGCTTCCAGGACACGCAGACGGTGGTCTGCAGGTGGTCCCCTCCCCGCCTTAAGGGAGCGATTGGCATTGATCTTACGGGCCCCACGTCGTAAAAGTCCGTCTCTCAAATAATCATCTTGCAGCGTTTCACCCAGAAAAGAAAGAGTGGAAGAAACTCAGGGGTGGAAGAATGTGAGGAGCATCCAGCCAAGA